CGTCGAGACACATGCTGTGTATTTATGGGTCTTTACGATTAGGCTTAGCCAGAGAAACTGTGTAGATGGACTGTCAGAATTCTAATGGTATTGTTCATGAGGAGTTTCTCAATGAGTTGGGCATGGTGGTACACATCTAATTCCAGCACTCAGGTGGCTGAGGCAGGAGGGTCACCAAGTGTTTGCAGCCAATCCCAACCAGTCAGTTCAGATAAACCTGAGAAACTTAGTGAAGCCTCTCTCAAAAAATACCCTGCAACAGTTGTTGGATGAGCACTCACAGACTGTGGGTGTTGTTGAGACTGAGATCCTTAGAGGAAGAGGGATGAAGCACAGAACAGAACAGAGTGCACACATTTAAATTTAGTGAGGTTAGTGTAGTCAGAGAGGCTGCCGAGGCAGACGTCCTGGAAGGACAAGTCAGTGCGCTGGTGGTGGTTTTGTTTTGGTTTGGTTTTTGGTTTTTTGAGAAATAGAGTTTCTCTGTGTAGCTGTGGCTGTCCTGGAGACCATGTTGGCCTCGAATTCAGATTCGCCTGCCTCTGCCTCCCGAGGGCTGGGATTAAAGGTGTGAGCCACCACTGCCTGGTCTCTATGGCTGACTAGTGATTTCCAGGCAGGCTTTATTTGTTAGAGCACAAACAAAATGTCACCACGTTACTACAAACATCTCATAAATTAAAGCTCTTGCCATTTGTCTTTCTGTCTTTAGGAAGGAATCATAAACTGTAATGCATGTAATCTGTTCATTAGACTCTGTCAGACTTTAAAGACTCTGCCTTTGTCATACTTTATGCTTTTTGTTTTGTTCTGTTTTTTAAGATAGTCTTGCTCTGTAGTCTTGGCTGGAATTGTCTGTGTAGACCAGACTGGCAGCCTTGCACTCTCTTCCTGTCTGCCTTCCCAATGCTTGGATTACAGGCATGTGCTCCATGCCTGGCTCCTGTATTTCTTAGACCATGGAGAGGAACCTATGAGTCTTTTTTCTCTTTCCGTGCGTGCGTGCGTGCGTGCGTGTTGCATTTTGTTACAAGTATGCTTCCTGTAGGTACAGTTTTGGAGGTCTGAGGTCAGCCTCAAGTATCTTCCTCTGTTGCTGCCTACCTTATATTATTTTAAAAGTACATTTATTTTTAGTGTGTACGTGCATGCATGCATGCCTTGGCATGTTGATGGAGATCAGAGGACAGTCTGTGGGAGGCAGTTCCCTCCTTCCACCATGTGAGTCCCAGAGATTGAATTCAGGGCATCAGGTTTGGTAACAAGTGCCTTTACCCACGGAGCCATCTTGTAGGCCCACCATCTTGTATTTTGAGACAAGGTCTCTCACTGAATCTGGAACTTTCAAGTAGACTGGCTGGCTAGTAACCCCTAAAATCTACCCGTCTCCATCTCCCTATGCCTCTAAGGCTGGGGTTACGGGTGTGTTCCATCATGTCTGGTGAGAAGAAGGTGTCAGATCCTTTGGAACTGAAGTCTCAGACGTTTGTGAGCCACCGTACGGGTGATGAGAATCAAACCTGGGTCCTCTAGGACAGCTTTAACCACTGAGCCATCTCTCCAGACAGTGTGAGTGCTGGTGATGCAAACGCAGGCCCTTACATTTGCACACCAAGCATTTACACACTGAGCCATCCTTTTTCCAAGATGGAATTTAAAAGCTAAAGGTTTTCTGAGCAATGCTTCAGCCGAGTGCCACAGATTGTGGTATGTTCCTGAGACAGGTTTCACTGTGTAGCCCTGGCTGGCCTAGAACTCACAGAGATCCCACCTGTCTTTCTCTGGAGTGCTGGGACTAAAGGTGTGTGCCACTGGGTGCTGGGACTAAAGGTGTGTGCCACTGGGTCCAGTGATGTATTTTTCTTTCTTTAAATTAAAGATGTGTTTCCTAATTTTTTGAAAGTTCTTTACCAATGTATTGTATACAGTGTGTTTAATTGTTAAATACTAGGGAATTTTTCACTGCATCTCCATTACTGAGTTCTAGTTCAATTCCTTCGCAGTCCTAGAACATTCATTATTTCAGTTGAGTTAAATATGGAGTTGGTTCTGACGGCACAGAATGTCTGTCCTGGTGAATATGCTGATGTACTTGGAAGAGTTCCGTGTTGTGCTTTTTGTCCTCTGAGAAATCTCTGTCCACGGCTGGAGAGATGGATGGCTCAGTGGTGGCCCACGGCCCTCTGGGACTTCAGTCCCAGGTGATCCGATGCCCCCTCTCACATACATGTCAGCAAAGCGCTTATACACGTAAAATAATGATAAATAACATATTAAAAAAATCACTGTCTACTCCGAGGTTAAAAGATTTCCACCTGTGTTTTCCTTTCCTTGAAGATTTTATAATATTAACTTGTACATTTAGTGGTGGTTCTATTCCTAGTTGTTTGCTGTAAGTGGTGTGAGGTGTCTTGATGACTACTGATTTCTAGTAAGTGACATTGTGTTGTTTGAAATTATGCCTTCCGTTTTTTCATTTTTTTTTCTTTTTCTTGGTGCTTGTTTGAGTGTGTGTGTGTGTGTGTGTATGTGTGTGTGTGTGTGTGTACACTGAAAACACTTGGCAAATCCAGAAATAGGATAAAAAATCAAATCAATGGGTGGACTTTAGCTCTCTATTAGGTCATTCAGAATTTGTCTATAATGTTCTGTGTAAGTTTAGTATAGAATTTTTATATATATTTTTTCTGCTACATTTGTTCCTATGTTTTGGAACCTTTTCCATACTAGTATAAGTGGAATTTTTTTTACCTCCCCGCTTCACTAATATGCAGTTTGCGGTTTTGTTTCTGGATTATTTCTTGACATTTTACCAAAAATTTATACTGTGACCTATGTTCTAGTTAATGTTTCTATTTCTGTAATGAGACACCATGACCAAAGCAACTTGGGGAGGAAAGGGTTTATTTGACTTACACGTCCACATCTTTGTCACTGAAGGAATCAGGACAGGAACTCAAGCAGAGCAAGAACCTGGAAGGCAGGAGCTGATACTGTGTACTGACTTGTTCACCATGGCTCATCTGCTTTCTTGTAGAACTCAGGACCACCTGCCCAGGGGTGGCACCACTCACATTTATGCTGGGCCCTAGCCCATTGATCACTAATTAAGAAAATGCCCTGCAGGCCTGCCTGCAGCCCAATCTTAAAGACACATTTTCTCAATTGCGGTTCTGTCTTGTCCAGTGATTCTAGCTTGTGTCACAGTGACATAAAACTATCCAGCACAGGCATGTGACTCTTGGGTGATGCTATTTTAATATAGACAGGATTTCTCTTGCTTTTGGATGGCAGGTAGACTAGATCACTTTGTTGTCGTCAGGTATTGACTGATTCAAAGCTATCATTACAAGGACTTGTTTGTTTCCTGACCTCTTCATCCTAGAGTTTGACTTTGAGGATTCAAACTTGAATCCTGGGTTGTCTACCAAAACTCCTTTTTAATATGTCAAGTTGTAATAGTGCCCATCAAGCCTGTGAAGACTGCCAGGACGCCACCCTGCCAACAGTGGTCATACAGATGCCTTTAACACATGCTTATTTTCTAGTACATGTACATATGTGTGCATATGCATGCATATGTGCGAGTAAGCCATTGACAGAGTGCCCTTCCCTCCCTCCTCTCCACTCCAGCCCATCCCCCACCAGAGTTAACACTGTTCTCTATGTCTTACTCAGTGTACATTCTCAGACCTGCAGTAAAACCCAATACAGATAAAATCATTGGGTATTCGGAATTAAATAATTGATTAATATTTTATTTGAGAAGACCTCATGAAAATTCAAAAGGAAATCTCTCTTCTGTCATTGTCTCAGGCCTAGAATACAGCTTTTACCAAACACAACTGTGGTGAATTCTAAGCCAGATCTCAGAACCTCTATTAAAAAGTTCCTCTTACAAAAATCATTGACAATGATTTCTACATCTTTCCCTTTTTTTTTTTTTTTTTTTTTTTTTTTTTTTTTTGGTTTTTCGAGACAGGGTTTCTCTGTGTAGCTTTGCGCCTTTCCTGGAACTCACTTGGTAGTCCAGGCTGGCCTCGAACTCACAGAGATCCGCCTGGCTCTGCCTCCCGAGTGCTGGGATTAAAGGCGTGCGCCACCACCGCCCGGCTCTTTCCCTTTTTGTAAAATTTATTTTTATTTTTATGTGTATGAGTGTTTGGCCTATATGTGTTTATGGGCACCATATGTGTGCCTAGTGCCCACAGTCTTAAGAGGATTTTGGATGCCCTGAAACTGGAGCTATGGACAGTTGTCAGCTGCCTTGTAGGTTTGGGAACCTAGTCTGGGGCTGCTGCAAGAGCAACCAGTGCTCTCAACCAGTGAACCATCGCTTCAATCTGTCTTTTTTTTTTTCTTTTTTTTTTTTGTTGTTTGTTTGTTTTTTGTTTGGTTGGTTGGTTGGGTTTTTTTTGAGACAGGGTTTCTCTGTGTAGCTTTGGAGCCTGTCCTGGAACTCACAGAGATCTGCCTGCCTCTGCCTCTGCCTCCCGAGTGCTCAGATTAAAGATGTGCGCCACCACTGCCCGACCCTTGTCTTTTTCTTAATAATGCTCCTGAAAGTTAGTAAGTACATCTTTGTTCTTTATTTCCCCATTTGTAAATGGCTTATTTTCTTAGTCTTGTAAGTGTAAAGAACTCTAAGAGGAAGAGTTTAAGTGATAATAAGGGCACTGTAACTAGTGTTTTACTCTGTTTGTTTGTTGGTTTTGTATTTTGAGACAGGGTCTCATGAGGTAGCCCAAGTAGATTTTGATCCTCTTGCCTCAGCTTTTCAAGTGTAGGATTACAGGCGTGTGCTATCAAGCTTGACTTTTGAGTTAGTTTTAAACAGACAAAATGTTTAACTATAACTATGTTCATAATTTTTGTTACAGGAATTCTATCAGTGAATACAAACCAGACAAGTAAGGTTGTGTAGATACAGGCTGAAGGTTGATAAGAAGTCCGCTTGCGCAGTATGTGGATGCTCACCTGCTTTCCTCCTCTTTCTTCAGGGCCATTTTAAGTGCCAGGTCTGGTTATTTTGCTGCCATGCTGAGTGGCTGCTGGGCTGAAAGCTCCCAAGAGTGTGTCACTCTTCAAGGGTAAGTGAGTGTGATGTTCTACGAGGCAGTGTGACTGGACTCAATTACAGAAGACACACAAAGCGCTCACTCCTCTGTGCTCAGTAGAGCTCAACAAATGACATTTTCTGAAACAAAAGGCAGTAGAGAGCATTTAGTAGTAGAGATCCTGTATGAATCTGCTCAGGCACTGTAACAGAATACCAGAACTGAGTGGCTGAAATAACATAAACCTGTTCTCACAGTTCTGTGGACTGAAGGTTCAAGATGTTAATAAGCCGACATCTACCAGGGCTTGTAGACAGCTGCACTCTGCGTCTCTCGTGGCTTTTGCTATTTGTGTGTCTCTTAAGAACGCTAATCCTGTTCTACCTAGGCTCCATCCTCTGGCATAACTTTAGCTTATTTATTTCCTTAGTAGCCTCATTGCCACATGCTGAAGGTTGGAGCATCAATATTTGAATTTGGGGAGGACACAGTCACTTCATAATGGGTGCATTCCGATTATGGTATATTTTAAATGGCAGACTGGAAGGTTTATAGCCTGTGGATAAGAGAAGTGAAAAAGTAGATCTGTTGGTGACATTATCCGTGTTGAAACACAGCTTGAGGGGACTGGAGAGATGGTGCATAGGTTAGAGACCTTCCTGCTCTACAAAGGATCCCATGTCAGTTTCCCTGCACCCATGTTGACAGCTCACAGATGTGTGTAACTCCAGTTCCAGGAATCTGATGTCCTCTTCTGGACTCCGTGGGCACCAGCACACATAGACACATAAATAAAAATTTTTAAAAAATCTTAAAACAAAATAAAACAACTTGAAAGATCTGTATATCATACTGATGAGATCTCTTTCTTTGAGATGAATTTAAAATGCCCTCTGAGTGTAGGAAAGGTTGAGCTAGCAGAAGCCAGATCTTTTCAGTGTGGTGGTCTTAAGGGTAGCTGCTTTTGTGTTAATTTTGGAAATTGGCTGGGCCTGTTTTATATAGTATAGACGTCTGCCTTTTTAAAAAAGAACTGTCAATATATTCTATGAAAACTGAATTCAGTGAGAATTCAAATTAAGGAATAATACTAGTTTGATTCAGAATTCAACTCTTTAAAGCCTTTTTTCTACATTGTGTGTGTGTGTGTGTACGTGTGTACGTGTAATACCACAGCATATGTGTGGGGGTTAGAGAACGACTTTTAGGAGCCCATTCTTTCCTCCTGTGGTGAGTTCAGGAGATCAAACTCAGGTCTTCACTTTGCATGGCAAGGGCTTTACCTACTGAGCCAACTTTTTGACATTCATTTAAATGACATGGTTTTTTTGTTGCTCAGAGTCAAAGAACTGTATCAAGTAAGGGATTCCTCAGCAAAAGAAAGTAATTTATAGAGTGCGTGTCTAATTGTTTTCCTGTAACAGATCTTAAAATTTTGTGTAAGTTGGTGACAGTTTTAACCAGCTGACACATATCACCTATGTCTTTGTTCTTCTCTGTCCTCAGCCAATGTGTAATAATCCCATTCATGCTTTCTGTGTTTCCTCCACATTCACCACGCCAGTCATTCTTTGAGGTAGAGTATTGTAGCCCGAGAGACCAGCTTCAAGGCTGCAGACTAGGGCTCAAAGAGAAAGCTACAGCTTAGCGAAACTTCGGGCTTCTTATCTGAGGGCTTTTTTAGGAATAGAATGAATTCGCACATGTTCTGATGGTTTCTTTCTTTATTTTCTCATGTTTGAATACTCTTTATTCCCTCATATTGGCTCCCTTTATTCTCTCATGTTGGTTCCCCTTATTCTCTCACATTGGTTCCAAATCTCTTTGTCTTTCACAGCTATATATACCCAACTGACCCTTTCATGATGAGTATAGGAGTTACATTTTAAGGTCACATTCCATTTCTTAAGTAAATGATAAGAAACAGAGTCATCCCAACAATACACATGTAATAAATCTCAGCTTCCTAATTGGTGGGGCTGTAATTTGCAGCCACAGCTGCAAAGAAAGAACTAGTCATTGTTATCTAACTGGAGAGATTGTCTTATAAAGGATTTTAAAGGAATTATAAAGTTGAACTATTGAGGAATCTAAGAAAAATAAGGAAATTGTGTACTACATCTTGTATTTCTGAGTGTAATATAATTTTAAACTAACATTTTGTGATTAGTTGTAAATGCTGGGCTCTGTCGGACTGAGAGTGTTTATAGAGAGAGCTATGTCTTAAATGCTTTGGTTGGAACTCAGGTTTACCTTAATTCTCTTAATATAAGCTCACTTAGGCACTCTCTAAGGCACAGTGAAACTAAAAGCATTTTAAATCTTAAAATATATTTGTCTGTTGTAGCTAGAGTTTTCCTGCCTGGCCCATAGTCAGGACAAATCTCTACCACCTGCCAGTCCTACAGCCGCTCAGATCCAACAAAGTAAACACAGAGACTTATATTGCTTACAGACTGTATGGCTGTGGCAGGCTTCTTGCTAACTGTTCTTATATCTTAAATTAATCCATTTCTATAAATCTATACCTTGCCACGTGGCTTGTGGCTTACCGGCATCTTCACATGCTGCTTGTCATGGCGGCGACTGGCAGTGTCTCTCTGACGCAGCCTTCCACTTCCCAGAATTCTTCTCTCTCCTTGTCCCGTCTATACTTCCTGCCTGGCCACTGGCCAATCAGTGTTTTATTTATACAGAACGATATCCACAGCATGAATCTTCAGATGAAGTGAGAAAACAAGACAGTGTTTATATCTTACAGAAATCTTTTATAGTGTTCCATTGAACTAATCCACAATTGTACTTTACTGCAAGAACCGAAGTTGGCTGAGTTACTGTTTGCCTATAAGTCAGCCCACCCTGAAACGATTTCTGCATAATAGGTGTACATTGTCTCTCTCACCTGTTCCCACTGGATGATCCAAACAGAAAAGAGACTGACTGCTCAGCAGTAAAGGCGTTTGCTCTATAAGCCTGAAAACCTGACTTCAGCCCCTGGAGCCCATGTAATGGTAGAAGATGACAAGACGCCACAGAGTTGCCCTCTGACTCCACCTGCACACGCGGCATGTGCACCCATGTGTGTGCATTATGCATACATGTGATAATGATAAAGTTTTAAACGAAGGACAATGCTGTGGGATGTTCTGTATGGCAAATGTGTTGCTGATTAGTCAATAAATAAAACACTGATTGGCCATTGGCTAGGCAGGAAGTGTAGGCGGGACAAGGAGGAGAATAAAGCTGGGAAGTTGAAGGCTGAGTCAGAGAGACACTGCCAGCCGCCACGATGAGAAACAGCATGTGAAGATGCCGGTAAGCCACGAGCTATGTGGCAAGGTATAGATTTATGGAAATGGATTAATTTAAGCTGAAAGAACAGTTAGCAAGAAGCCTGCCATGGCCATACAGTTTGAAACCAATACAAGTCTCTGTGTTTACTTGGTCAGGTCTGACGGCTGTGGGACTGGCAGGTGAGAGAGATTTGCCCTGACTGTGGGCCAGGCAGGAAAACTCTACCTACAGGACAAAGTCAGTTTATCTCTTATCTTAGGCTCTCTCCAGTCAGTTGTTATCTGCCAACCAGATACATTGATTCCCTTTCAAATAGAGTGGTGTATATTGGGAAAGATAATTCTTAACAATGCCATCAACAAGATAGTATTAATGAAAGTTTGAGATGAAAAGGGAAGGAAGTTATCTTTATTTTCTGTTGCTAATAACAATCCCACAGACTGGTTAAATTAGAGTCAAACAGACAATCTGAGCCTGAAGCAGGAGGAAATCAGCCTGGGCCATGTAGTAGCAGGCCAGTCTAACTTGCTTAGTGAGATTCTGAGTTCAAAATGAATGAGAATGGTATAGAAAAGGAGATAAAGAGAAGGAATGAAAGGGGAGAGAAAAGAAAAAATTAAGGAAAGGAAGGGAGGGAGTAAAGGAAAGGGGAAGCCTTGTTAACATTCTGCTTGGTTGAACTGGGGTATTCTGGTCCAAGATTGATGAGATACATCTGATGATTGCTTTACTGCTAGCTGAGCCCCAAAGTGTCACAGACAAGGGCACCCCCAGAGACCTTAGTCCAACTGGTTTTATAGTAGACCAACTTTAAAGATAATCCATTAATCTTCATGAATGCACAATCCTAAACACATGGCTCTGTCTTTAATGTCCTATAGTGGAGATTAAATTTCAACATAGCAGAGGTCATCACCCGAGTCAGTAAATCGTACAGTTACTACAAATGTCAATTCTTGAGTCGTGTCTTTATTCTTTCACCTAATTCAGGACACCAGCCAAGCTAGAGCCTTTGGTAAGTTGTAATTAAGAAGTTTGAGCCTGGCAGTGGTGTTACACGCCTTTAATCCCAGCACTTGGGAGGCAGAGGCAGGTGAATCTCTGTGAGTTTGAGGCCAGCCTGGTCTACAGAATGAAATCCAGGACAGTTCCAAAACTACACAGAGAAACCCTGTCTCAAAAAAAAAAAAAAGTTTGTATGTATAGCAAGGAGCCCTATAGTGAATAAAAGTGTTCATTTTAAGTAAAGCCAGAGGCTACTTATCAAAGGTGCTGAGGAGAGATTATATCTGTGTGTGTGTGTGTGTGTGTGTGTGTGTGTGTGTGTGTGTGTGTATAGTGCTGGAAATGGAATCCAAGGGCTTTGCATACTCTGTCACTGAGCTACATTCCCAGCAGTAGATAGGACTGAATGAATAAAAAATTTGGACAGCAACCTCTAAAATCCCTTCTAACTCAAAAATTCTGGAAGAAGATGCAAGAAAAGTCTTTGCCAAAATCAAAGATCCTTTCATGATAAAAAGTCCTGGAGAGATTACGGATTCAAGATACATAATAAAGGCAATCATTCTAAACAGAAAAAAACAACAAAAATTCAAAAGCATTTCCATTAAAATGAGGAACAAGGTGAGGATGTTCTCTCTCACTTACCTGTTCACTATTGTGCTTGAAGTCTTAGCTAGAGCAATAAGACGACTGAGTGAGACCAAGGGGATACAAATAGAAAAGGAAGAAGTCAT